CCTAATTAGGTCCAACGGACCCCTTACCCTTCTCCCAAACAACAATTCAAATGGAGAAAATCCCGTTGACTCTTGAGGTACCTCTCTATATGCGAACAGCAAATGGGGAAGAAATCGCTCCCAGTCCTTATGGGCCTCTCCAAACGTACGGAGCATCTGCTTCAGGGTACCATTAAACCTTTCGCACAGGCCGTTGGACTGGGGGTGATAGGCAGAGTTTACTATTGGCTTAATGCCACATATCTTCCACAGTTGCTGGGTGACCTCCGCGGTGAACTGGGTACCCCTGTCAGATATTATCTCCTGCGGGAATCCTACCCGGGAAAAGACTTTTAGCAAGGCTTCGGCCACCGTCTCTGCGTGAATATTAGACAGGGCGATGGCCTCGGGGTACCGGGTGGCGTAGTCTACCACAGTCAGGATATACCTCTTACCGGAGGGACTAGGTCCCACTATGTCAACTGCCACTCTGCTAAATGGCTCCTCAATAATTGGTAGGGGGCATAGTTTCGCTTTGTGGCGATACCCCCTCTTTCCCACCCGTTGGCAAATGTCACAGGAGGTGCAATACTGCCTTACATCTTTGGAGATCCCTGGCCAGAAAAAGGCGTGGGTCAGCCGGTAGCGGGTACGGGCCATTCCCAAATGCCCAGACAAGGGAATATCATGCGCAATCCTAAGCAATTCCTGCCTGTACTTTTGGGGAACCACTAACTGTTTAGTGTTTACTGTGACTGAGCCCCCTATTACTCTTTCCGCTATACGATATAACAACCCGTTCTCCCAGATATACCGCTCCCCCTCTAATCCCGCCTGATCGGTGCTCACCCTATCTCGGTAAACCTGCAAGGTGGGGTCTAACTTCACCTCTGCCTCAAATTTACTTGGGGTATCCCAGGTCATACGTGTCGTGGGGGAGTCATGGTCTCTTACCTGAGCCTCAGAGTGTGCTGATGGAACCGTGGTGCGAGCCTGCTGCCGGGTGGTCACTGGATGTGCTTCCTGGTGGGGAGCCGGAGGTATAAAAGCAGAGGTCATCTGGCCCAAATCATTCCCAAGTACAACATCCGCAGGTAGCTTCTGCATCAGGCCCACCTCGACCATCCCTTCCCCAACACCCCAATTCAAATGTACTTTCGCAGTGGGCAATCTGTATACGGCTCCCCCTGCTACTCGTACGGCTACGGATCCTCCAGTGTGGGCTGAGCCGGGAACCAAATGCGGGGCGACCAATGTAAGAGTGGCCCCCGAATCTCGGAGCCCTTGTACCTCTTTCCCTTCTAGCGTTACCAGCTGCCGGTGATGCTGCCTGTTGTCTGTGGCTTGTACAGACATCACCTCATGTAGTATCCCCAGTGGTTCCTCTGTTTGATTAAAGAGCATCTCCTGGGTGGCGGGTTCCGCTTGGTAGTGGTGGGCGGCTGCTCTGGGTGCTGGGTTTGGCCGCACTTGGTTCCATGCTTGCCGGCTCCGATTCTGGGTGCACTCTCTCGCCATGTGGCCCCATAGCTTACACGCATAGCACTGGATATTAGCCCTGCCATTATACCTGGATGGTGGAGTGTAGGCCACCGGGTTTGGTCGGAACGGGGCGGCTGTGTGTGCTGTAGGGGTGGCTGTAGGAGGTGCAGCGGCGGGGCAAGGGTATCCCCTGCTCAGGTTACCATGATGTCTTCTGGCGTCATAATGTTGATCCGCTAGTCGTGCTGCTTCGGTTAGGGTGGGGTTTTTTCGGTCTCTAACCCATTCTTGTGCCTCGGGGGACAGACCATTAAAAAACTGTTCTAGCAACATCAACTGTCTTAACTCCTCCATAGTGGTAGCTCGACTGGCTTGTATCCACCCCTGGGAGGCTTGATCTAGTTTGTGTGCCCACTCCGCGTGGGAGTATTTCTCGGGTTTGCGCAATCCGCGAAACTTGCGCCGGTATGCCTCTGGGGTAATGGCGTAACGGTCCAGTATAGCCTGTTTCACCCTGGCATAATCTTTGCTGTCTTCCCTGGGTACAGCCCGATAGGCTTCTGCTGCCCGACCTGACAGTTTGCCTGCTAATAACGGTACCCATACTGCCTGCTCCAAATCATGTAAATCACATAGCCTTTCAAAGTCTTGTAAGTATCCATCAATTTCGTCCTTATCTTCGCAAAACATTTTAAACGCATGGTAAGGAATTTTAGGTTTTACCTGGTTGCTGACTGCAGCAGTAATAGATTCTGCCCTGGAGGGTGGGTTCTGCGGTCCGTGTGCCATCACATACTCCTGCACATCCACCATCAGTACAGTCAGCATTTCCAGTGGTACAGGCTGGGGTAAAAATTCCATCCTGGTTCTCATTTCCCTCTGGTAAAGGGTCTCTTCCATGGCTGGTGGAGGTGTAACGTTGCGAGCTCTGTCTCCCTCCATCAGTTCAGCAATAAGTACAGCTTTAGATTTGTTGCTGGCTATTTTACCTCTAGCTTCCAGCAGTTCCTTTAACGTCTGCCGTTTTAATGTAGCATAATCCGTCTCCATTCACTTCTGCTTTCGGTTCTTTTGTTGCATTCGAATTGCCATTCCCTTTTCCTGTTCGGCAGTTTCAATTTGCACGAACCACGCTTTTCGGCTGTAAGGTTGGATCCCGTCGCTTGCCACCAATTGTAGCGGAGTAGTGGTATTATCCACGGTATCTTCGCTGGTAGACAGGATGAAGCAGGTAAAATGTAGGTAAAATGCAGGTAGCGTAGTTACAATCCTTTTCTCCTAAGAACTAGACGACACATAGCTTGGAGGTTAAAACACTGGCATCTCACCAGGCTGAGACACACTCTTTAATGATTACAGTTTTCTTTAAACACAGACCTCCGCAGGGGGGTCTGCATTCCACACAATACCCTTCCCTTAGTCCCAGGCAGGAGGGGGTTGGGTTACAGATAGCCATCTCCTGCCTTAGGAGATACCAAGCAGTACACAGGAATACACTTTACATCATATTACATTCATGGGGGTTACACTTTAAGTGGCTGGTTTGGCCACAGATAGGAATAGCAATGCAGCAATAGCAAGATATATATACAAGGACATTCTGTAAGTGGCTAGGTTTGCCACAGTAGGATTATGTGTCCTGCTGAGGGGAGGAGAAGTGTGGGTGGTAACTCTAATATTATTGGCTACTGTACTTATTACTGTGGGTGTTTCCCTTGCATGGGAGAATTGCTTAAAAGCTCACTGTGTGGAATAAAAGTTCAGTTCTGTTCCTGATGCTGTGTGTTGTCCAGTCTTTGGGAAACGTGTGGGATACTTTTGGATTACTTTACTAATCGTGGATATTCTCTTCAGTTTTATTACTTGTTCCTGAGCCTTACTTGGATTACCAGCGGAGATAGTCTGTGAAAGACCAGCACTCCGCTACAAATTCATTCTTTTATTAGGCTAACAACATGTTCGAACAGTGTTTTGGGAGATTAAGCATTGATAACCGAAGGGTCTCCTGAAAGCTAATTGTTCCTAAAATAAAATGTACTCGAAAGGTAATTAAAAGGCACATCGGAACACAGTGTTTGTGGGCTGTCGCGAACCGTTCGCCATGAACCGTTCGTGGCGAGCTCCGGTCAGCTGACACATCCCGGCCAATCTCCAGCAGACCTTCCCTCCCAGACCCTCCCACCTCCTGGACAGCATCCATGTTGAAGCTGCCTTCAACATGGATGCTGTCCAGGAGGTGGGAGGGTCTGGGAGGGAGGGTCTGCTGGAGATTGGCCGGGATGTGTCAGCTGACCGGAGCTCGCCACGAACTGTTCGCGACATCTCTACCCAGGACATACTTGAAACCCAGAGAAATTGCAATGTATCCTTCCCGGTAAAATAAACAGTGGAGGGTTGCTGTCAGATGACGAGTATGAATTCATTTTCAATCGTCAACCTAGAATAGCAACCTTCTACTGCCTGCCGAAAATCCACAAAAATTTACAGGACCCCCCAGGACGACCCATCGTCTCTGGGATAAACAATCTTACGCAAAATGGCAGTCTGTATGTGGATAACATTTTGAGACCCTTGGTAGAGACTTTGCCATCATACATAAGGGACACTAAGCAAGCTTTGAATCTACTTTCTAACCTTAAGCTATCTCCAAGTGCAAACCTTTGTAGTTTAGATGTTGAATCACTCTATTCATCTATCCCTCATAATAGGGGTTTGGAACATGTAAGATTCTTTCTAAACCAGAGGAAGCGTAGAGATGACCTTCATGCAGACTTTGTGGTATGCCTTCTAGAATTTATTCTATCACATAATTACTTTTTGTTTAACACCAAGTTTTATCACCAGGTGAGGGGCACTGCGATGGGGACGGCTTGTGCCCCTTCATATGCAAACCTTCACCTGGGATGGTGGGAAAAAGAAATTTTTTCCTCAGAGACCCTGAGAGACTACCTCCCTAAGATTTTATGGTGGGGACGCTATATCGACGACATTTTGTTGGTATGGCAGGGGTCCATACAGGAATTTACAAATTTGGTGGAATGTTTAAACCAGAATAATGAGAACCTTAGATTCACCTCGGAATTTGGTGGACGCACAATTAATTTTCTAGATATCACAATCTCCATCAATGAGGATGGGACATTCCAGTCTACTTTATATAGAAAACCAACTGCTACAAATTCCCTACTCCATTGGAAGAGTTATCATCCCAGGCCCCTTAAGGCGGGAATTCCGGTTGGCCAATATCTTCGCCTCCGGAGAAATTGTAGCGATGTACTGGATTTCAAGATAAAGGCAGACCAGCTTCGCCTATATTTCAAGGAGAAAGGCTACCCAAATCGCTGCCTTAAAAAAGCTTATAAGAGAGCACTTGAAATTGATAGGAAAGAACTTCTTAGTGACCACCCCAGGAATACATCTTTGAAAAATACAGGCAACATTCGGATGATTGCCACATATGACACGGGATGGTCCGAAGTAAAAAATTGTTTAAATAGATTCTGGCCGATCCTCTTGAATGATCCACATTTGAAGGAAATCCTAGGTCCGTGTATCAACATTACGGCCAGAAGAGGACGCAACATTCGTGACCTATTAGTACCAAGCCATTTATCCACTAAACCGCAGCGAAGGGATACATGGTTGGGTAACCCTCCATGTGGGTCCTATGGCTGCGGTAGATGTGTAGCTTGCAAATTTATTTTGAAGGAATCTAAGGTAGTCTATGATAGTACTGGCCAAGTCTCTATTAAGATTAAAAACTTTTTTAATTGTAGCACGAAGGGTCTGGTGTATCTCTTGTCTTGTTCATGTGGACAAAAATATGTAGGCAAGACTTTTAGAGCTTTCAAAGAAAGGATTATGGAACACGTAAGGTCCCCTAGGAATCGCCTTGAAACACCAATTTCAAGACACCTTAGAGAATGTCATGGGAGCGATTCTAGTAAACTGAAATTCTGTGGTCTTGAATGGGTTAAGAGACATCCGAGGCGAGGGAACTATGATCGTTTACTAAGACAGAGAGAGTCTAGGTGGATTTATAGACTTAAGACACTACAACCTTTGGGTTTAAATGAGGGCTTCTCTTTTGCCCCATTTATTTGATCTGTCACTATATAGATATACACCTATATGTAGGCATGCCTCTATATATATATATATATTTTCTACATGTGATATCGGGATCACAGCAATTTACTGAACCATAGATTTATAAGTATGTATCTTATTTGTATTGACTGAGTTTAGCTCTGTCTATATTATTCTCAGATTCTGTTTAACCCTTTGGGTACTGTCACTACCTGGACCTGCCTTTTTAAGATGTTACTATTTACTTGTATATATAGAAGTTTTTTATTTTATTTTATTTATTTTTGTATTTTTGTCCATCTCTAATTTATTCCTCCTCCGCTTACTCCTTAAACCCCATGTCTTCTGTCTTTCATATATATTTATTATACTTATCCCCTTTTTGTCTTTTAACTATGGGAACACTATATGTTCTTATTTGCTATCTACTTTATTACCTGTTTATATATATATGATGTTACCCTAGTTATAACTACAAGGGAGTCGTATTTGTGAAAGACTTTATAAGATGATACTTTGTATCCGGCCGTTTTGGCTAAACGCTTGTGGAACAGCTTTTACAATATACACTGTTTGCGGCTTTGTTACCAATGCGGGGGTTTCTTGTGATGCCGGTGTGCTATGCGCCTGCGCTTTCTTCCGGCTGAATACCGGTATTTGGCGCATGCGCGTTTTGTCCCGTTCTGCATATACGAACACGGGACCGCCTACCGGCAAATTATGTAGGCGTAACGAAACAGGGGCTCAGCCTATTGGAGAGTCCCCTGTTTTGGCGCCAATTACAAATGCACATAAGGGAGGGGAGGAAGGAGGATCGTTTGCACACTATCACCCTCGACAAAGGCGGACGTTACCGCCGAAACGCGCGTTGGGTTTCTTTTCTTTTTGTGTGTATAGGGGGAGAGAAGATATGGACACTCACAGATTTTTGCACGTTCTTTATACTTAGTGAATTATAGTCCAGGGTCCTTTTAGACCTATTTAACTCTCTTTATTTCCTCCTCACTTTATTTTTCTCTCTTCACTGATATCTTACTATCCTTTCGATTTACCAACTTTTTAACTTGATATATGGAGCCACTATGGCTAGGCTATACCTGTAGAACAATACTAGGACCATGTAATTATATCCTTATATCTATAGTTATTTAAACAGTGAAGAGTCAATTTATTGGCAACTTGAGGGAACTAGAATGCACTTTTTGCTCCTGTGAGGCTCCTATGTGTAATTCTCTGGATACTGCTACTAATCTGTTGTAATTTGAAGTAGTTCTCTTTTTTCTTTTTACTACTTCTTTACTGTAATTTTGAAAAGTGGTATCAAGTTACACGGATTGGATACATACTTTTCAGGTTGCCCCTTTTCTGTGTTTCCTCATTTTTTTGCCAATACTAGTTTGGTGTATTATGATTTCACATATGAGATTTTTATGATCCTAATAAAACTTTATTATTTTTGTAATACACGGTAGTGGGCAAATATATTGCTCCAGACGGGGTACTAAGATTGAGGGGATTTGTTTCCTGTGTTTCAGGGATATTGTCTCCTCTTCTTTTTCTGTATATTGGTTTATATAAGGGTGAGGCCCTTTCTAGTACCCCATAACCCATTTTTTGTGTATCCTTTTGGTTGGAAATTTTTCACCTAAAGGTGCACATTTTTCTCTTAAAATAAACATCACTTCATGTTTCCACACAGATTTGCTCCTTTTGTCCCGGGGATGTGCGGCCCTCCTCTGAGGTCAGCCGATTCTGCCAGAGCCATGGAGTGCTGCTTTATCGACGCTGCTGTATGAACAAGACTGGCAACAGTGATACAATAGTTGGGTACGCTGGCTGTGCACATACTGACTGTGTATACAATAGTTGGGTACGCTGGCTGTGCACGTACTGACTGTGTATACAATAGTTGGGTATGCTGGCTGTAAATGTAAAGACTGTGTGTGTGTATACAATAGTTGGGTACGCTGGCTGTGCACATACTGACTATGTATGCAATAGTTGGGTACGCTGGCTGTGCACGTACTGACTGTATACAATAGTTGGGTATGCTGGCTGTGCACATACTGACTATGTATATACAATAGTTTGGTACGCTGGCTGTGAACGTATGGACTGTGTGTGTACAGTAGTTGGGTACGCTGGCTGTAAATGTAATGACTGTGTGTGTATACAATAGTTGGGTATGCTGGCTGTAAATGTAATGACTGTGTGTGTATACAATAGTTGGGTACGCTGGCTGTGCACATACTGACTCTATGTATACAATAGTTGGGTACGCTGGCTGTGCACATACTGACTGTGTATACAATAGTTGGGTACGCTGGCTGTGCACGTACTGACTGTGTATACAATAGTTGGGTATGCTGGCTGTAAATGTAAAGACTGTGTGTGTGTATACAATAGTTGGGTACGCTGGCTGTGCACATACTGACTATGTATGCAATAGTTGGGTACGCTGGCTGTGCACGTACTGACTGTATACAATAGTTGGGTATGCTGGCTGTGCACATACTGACTATGTATATACAATAGTTTGGTACGCTGGCTGTGAACGTATGGACTGTGTGTGTACAGTAGTTGGGTACGCTGGCTGTAAATGTAATGACTGTGTGTGTATACAATAGTTGGGTATGCTGGCTGTAAATGTAATGACTGTGTGTGTATACAATAGTTGGGTACGCTGGCTGTGCACATACTGACTCTATGTATACAATAGTTGGGTATGCTGGCTGTGCACATACTGACTGTGTGTATACAATAGTTGGGTACGCTGGCTGTAAATGTAATGACACTGTGTGTATACAATAGTTCGGTATGCTGGCTGTAAATGTAATGACTGTGTGTGTATACAATAGTTCGGTATGCTGGCTGTAAATGTAATGACTGTGTGTGTATACAATAGTTCGGTATGCTGGCTGTAAATGTAATGACTGTGTGTGTATACAATAGTTGGGTACGCTGGCTGTAAATGTAATGACTGTGTGTATTCAAAAGTTGGGTATACTGACTGTGTTTATACAATAGTTGGGTACGCTGGCTGTAAACGTACGGGCTATATATATAGTAGTGGGGTACGCGGGCTATGAGCGTACTGACTGTTTATACATTAGTTGGGTACGCTGGCTGTGAACGTACAGACTGTGTGTGTGTATACAGTAGTTTGGTATGCTGGCTGTGAACGTACAGACTATGTGTGTATACAGTAGTTTGGTATGCTGGCTGTAAATGTACAGACTGTGTGTGTATACAGTAGTTGGCTATGCTGGCTGTAAACCTACTGACTGTGTTTATACATTAGTTGGGTACGCTCGCTGTGAACGTACTGACTGTGTATACAGTGGTTGGGTATGCATGCTGTGAACGTACTGACTGTGTGTATATAGGTGTTGGGTACGCTGGCTGTAAACGTAATGACTGTGTGTGTATACAGTAGTTACACAGGCTGTTAACGTACAGTCTGTGTATACAGTAGCTGGGTACTCTGGCTGTGAACGTACTGACTGTTTTTGGTGTGGCCTCTATATTTCTTCTCATTTTTTTTATATTTTTTTTTTTGTACAGTTTGGACTTGGGGAATTGCTCTCTGAACCACCTCGATTTTGCACTGAACCTCACAGAATCTCTTAACGTAATGTAAGACCTTCAAACTCCCAACATTCCTAGGCTGGTCCCAGGGTCGGGGCGGGTTACTGAGCTGGTGGGAGAGCGCATGGCGGGTTACTGAGCTGGTGGGAGAGCGCATGGCGGGTTACTGAGCTGGTGGGAGAGCGCATGGCGGGTTACTGAGCTGGCGGGAGAGCGCGGGGCGGGTTACTGAGCTGGCGGGAGAGTGCGGGGCGCGAGTTACTGAGCTGGAGGGAAAGCTTGGGGCGGGTTACTGAGCTGGTGGGGGAGAGCGCGGGGTGCGGGTTACTGAGCTGGAGGGGGAGAGCGTGGAGCGCAGATTACTGAGCTGGCGGGGGAGAGCGCGGGGTGCGGGTTACTGAGCTGGTGGGGGAGAGCATGGAGCGCAGATTACTGAGCTGGCGGGGGAGAGCGCGGGGCGCAGGTTACTGAATATGCCTGATTGTCGAGGTTCTCAGACTGAGGTCACATTAAAGAGACCGTACTATTCAACCAATGTAATAGATTGTCTGTCTTTCTCCCCAGAGACATCTCTCAGAATCCGCTAGTGGACTTGTCCCAGGAGATCTTTCGTGGGCTCAGTGGGCTGTGGTACATGTAAGTATCTTCTCTCTCTAAAGCTTTGCTTTCCGCTCTGTTTTATATTCCATAGAGGTAAATATCAATCATACAACATCCATGTAACCATAGATCCAAGCACTCCATATAGGCGGTGCAATGGAGCTCCAGTACTCCGACCGAGTACCTCTACCAAGTCCTCTTTCTTGTAGCTATCAGAGAACCTGGAGCACTTCAGACCATGTCACTGAGGCTTGTCTGGGATCATTGAAGGCCTTTTCTACCCCGGACCAGGCTACTGTGTTTACAGCCCTGGACACACTTTCCATCAGCAGATTATATCCCTTTCCCCAAACACTAGACAACACTTGGTGACGGTTAAAACAGCATCTGACTTTAACAGACATAGCCACATATTTAAACACCTAAAAGCCTCATTTACATACAATAGGTTACATAGAGCACTATAGTACAATGAAGGGTGGGGTCAGACAATAGCAAGGGCGGATGGGAGATTGAGGAGGGACAAAGCAGCCAGTTTCAACTGGTCTGGCAGTGTCCCTGGGGCAACGCCCTGCGGGGGATACATTGGGACAGGAAAAAGGGGGAGGGGAAGAGGCACAGATAAGCAATACATTCAACATACCTGTAGCGGAGCTGCAATATTAAATTCCACAATCTCCACTGGTACAGAAGGTAATCCAAAGTAAAGCGCTGAAAAGTAAGGCAATATCCCAAATCCCCCAGTAACCGGACGAAACACAGTTCTGGGAGTCAACTGCGGTTTTTATTCACAGGTCACAGTATTTATGAAAGTCCCCATGCAAGGGGTTTCCCTACTGACATTGCAGGGGTTATACAGTGGGGGACTACATGGGGGGCTTGGCAACCTGGACATTTCTCCCATCAGGCACTGCTGGACGAGAGGGAATACATCGTTAAGTGGATTATCCCTCCGTGCAGCAGAACTGACATTTTACATTAAAATATATAACTTTGCCTTTATTCATGTTATCTAGACGAATGGACATTCGGTAGATAGCTGGGGTCTGAGTGCACATTTCGTTAGAATACCGCTCAGATCCCAGCATAAATAACAGAACGCTGCTCAAAATACACTTTAACATTAGGTTCGCCTAAAAGTTCCGAACACCGATGGGGAACCATAATAGCGAAAGACTGGAGCTCCCGAACGGCCTGGAAGTCCAGCGGTGTTCGCGCCGTCGAGTAGCCGTTTTCAGTTCCACGCGCTCGACGACCAAACACCACTGGTGAAACAAAGGATCCAAGATGGCCGACCGCCGCGTGGTCGGTAGCCGAACGACTGCTACCTAGGAAAGCCCTTAACTACCGATTGCAACAATGTTGCACTCGGTTAATGAGTGCCACACGACCCTCTGTGTGTGGGCTACTGAGTGGTAGCTCATGTTCATGAAACGAAACACATGAATGCTAGCGGCTTTCGGCTGCTAGCACACGAATGCTCTAAACATATCAGCACAGACAGACATTATAATATATAATCCAGCGGCTATTACAGACAGCACATATAGTCCAGTAACCTAAAAGTGGCTATGTTTGCCACAATACCCTGCACCAATAATGGGCACAGGGTGATCAAAACACCAAAGGAATCTGGGGACCCACACATAGTATCTGTCTTCCATCCCCATAGTTACATAGCTGAAAAGAGACTTGCGTCCATCAAGTTCAGCCTTCCTCACATTAGTTTTTTGCTGTTGATCCAAAAGAAGGCAAAAATCCCAGTCTGAAGCACTTCCAATTTTGCAACAAACTAGGGAAATGGCAGTCAGATTAATCCTTGGATCAAGCAGTTATTACCCTACATTGAAAGATTATATCCTTGAATATTCCTCGTGTCCTATGTAAAGTCCGGTTTGTGAATAGATTTCCACACAATGGTTTGTATTGGCCCCGAATATATTTGTATAATGTTATCATAGGTGACGTTTTTCTAAATTAAAGAATTTTAAATGTGTCACACGCAGTACAGGAAATAATGTTTTGAACGCACAATGTGGTCGATGTCAATACTAATTTGCATAACATTGTGTTTTTAATATACATAACAATAAATTGGTTACTTACGGATATTGCCTCCCCGAAGACACCTGCTCTGCCATGAAGCGGATTGTGTAATTAACCAGATTTATTGTTGTGTTATAAAAAGTAAGATTTCACCGCGGCCAAAATGTTATTTCGTGTATCTGTTTGTCACTAAAGTCTGCGGCAGCACCTATCTGGAGTGCTCGGATCCATTTTTTTTTTTTTTATTACTCTGCTTTGCTCAGCAGGCTGATATTAACCATAATTCTTGGATTCTGTCATTAGAGCGGTGCCCCTCAATTTGAGCTGTCCTGGAGGTAATGATACATGGGGGAACGTAACCAAAACCTCCAGCGCCTTGATCTGCCAGGATCAGAACAGCGCATGTGGAACCACCGGGAACCTGAGTGAGTGCCAACTGCCAGACCTTACAAACATCTCGGCTTCTTTTACCGCGGCTGCGTGGGTTGGGCATGTCATGTAAACAGTGATACAATGTCCTGCCCTGAGATTGGACTTTAAATATAAACTAGAATTCCCAGCCAGATACAGGGAAGGTTGCAATAAACCCCCTGAACTAACTCTCTAAATTAAATGGCATTCCCAGCCAGATAGTCAAGCTTTCTCCCAGTTGTTACCTCTTTAATAACTTATCTCTGTGTGTTGGCAATATTCGATCTTCTAGTGTGTTATAAGTATAAAAAGTCCTGATTTGCTTTGTGAGGGAATTGTACTGTGATCTCATCTATATCGGTCATGTTTGTGTCCACAGTATGTAAATGTGTCTGTGTTGTCTCTGCTTAGCCTTGCTGTGTCCAGAGAGCTCTATGTGTGCCCCTGATGGTCCAGGATACACAAAGTGCGTCTGTGCCCCAGGATTCACTGGATATAAGTGTTTGAGAGAGGTGAGTACAGTGTGCTGTTGGTGACTGCAAGACCGGAGAACATTGTAACATATATAATGGGGAAGGTGTAGCTGGTAATGGGTGGAAAGGTTGAGTGGGGAGGATGTAGGTGACAAATGAAGGCGAGCGTATCTGTTATTTGGGGGATTAGGTCATAAGAGAGCAGGCGTGGTAATGGGGGGGTTTAGAGGACTGTATTTAAGTGGCTGGTAATGGTGGAGGTTTGGAGGATAAAGTGGTTGGTAATGGTGGTTTGGAGGATGTAGCGGATGGTAATGGTCGAGGTTTGGGGGATGTAGCAGTTTGTTAGTAAGGGAGGTTTGTAATGGTGGAGGTTTGGAGGATGAAGCGGTTGGTAATGGGGGAGTTTCGGAAGATGTAGCAGTTGGTAATGGTGGAGGCTTGGAGGATAAAGTGGCTTGTAATAAGGGAGGTTTGGAGGATGTTGTGGTTGGTAATGCAGCACTTCAGACCCAGTTGGTTTGGAGGAGGATGAGGCTGGTAATGGGGGAGGTTTGGAGGATAAAGTGGCTTGTAATAAGGGAGGTGTGACGGACCACTAGCACTCTGCCAATCGATGCTCCTAGTGCTTGCTGAGGACTCCAAGCACTCCAACCGACACCATTGGCATTGCAGACCCCACTTCCAGCAATTCAGTTGCGCCGGGGTCTAGCCATCCTTCACTCACCCTGGACCCCAGGCGAGGATCCAGCTTCCAGTGGGCTGTCCTCTCTTCCTACAGAGAGCATAGCAGGAACAAGAACAGCTCTTACAAGAACTTACCCTGGGGAGTAAGTGTGGTTAAAGCAATCCCCAAGAGTGTAGTTATCCCATCCCCCAAGCATGAGCCAAGGCTTCAAGAAAGGTTCAAGCAGGTCTGTTTAATGCACACAAAAGGACTTTCTTTTATACAAGTATTCAGGCCAGAGTCACCACCTGGACCTGGTAGTAAACTGTGACAAAAGGGACACAAACCAATGGGAACACTAACAAAATAACACTCCCACATACACAGTAAAATCCCTCCCCTCTATCCTGGAGATAATTGGCTTAAGGCACTGCAATAAACTCAATTATCTCCAGGTACAGAAAATATCTCCATTTTACATGAACAGTAAAAATACATAATTCCTATTATATTACACAGTACTCCCACCTTTTAACTTATCACCAGATAGATCGGATCTGAGCGCCCAATATAGGTGAATAGCGCTCAGATCCCACGAACAGAGCAAATTTGCCATGGGGTTAAAGCTTTGCAAGGGCTGATGAGAGATTGAGGAGGGACAAAGCAGCCAATTTAAACTGGTCTGGCAGTGTCCCTGGGACAATTCCCTGCTGGAGAACAATGGGACAGGAAAAGGCACATTCTCCCATGGAATCAAAGGTGCAGAATTGTGCCAGTTCCAATTAAAGGGCCAGAACAGTCTTTTAAACACCAATAAGTCCAAATAGTGTTTTTAACTTGCAAAGTCACCCGGGGGTCATAGTCACATGGCAAGAGGCCGGCAATTAGTTCTCTCCAGGCACAAGTGGTGAAGGGCACTTCGTCACAGGAGGTTTGGAGGATGTAGCGGTTGGTAATGGGGGAGGTTTGGATGATAAAGTGGCTTGTAATAAGGGAGGTTTGGAGGATGTTGCGGTTGGTAATGGGGGAGGTTTGGAGGATATAGCGGTTGGTAATGGGGGAGGTGTGGAGGATGTAGCGGTTGGTAATGGGGGAGGTGTGGAGGATGTAGCGGTTGGGAATGGGGGAGGTGTGGAGGATGTAGCGGTTGGGAATGGGGGAGGTGTGGAGGATGTAGCGGCTGGTAATGGGGGAGGTGTGGAGGATGTAGCGGCTGGTAATGGGGGAGGTGTGGAGGATGTAGCGGCTGGTAATGGGGGAGGTGTGGAGGATGTAGCAGTTGTAATGGGGGAGGTGTGGAGGATGTAGCGGGTGGAATGGGGGAGGGGTGGAGGGTGAAGCAGGTGGTAAATGGGGAGGTGGAGGATGTAGCTGCTGGTACGCCGGGGAGTGGAGGATGGCTGCTGGTAATGGGGGAGGTGTGGAGGATGTAATGCATGGTAATGTGGGGAGGTGGAGGGCTGCTGGTAATGGGGAGGTGTGGAGGATGTACGGGCTGGTAATGGGGGGAGGTGTGTGGAGGATGTAGCGGCTGGTAATGGGGGAGGTGTGGAGGATGTAGCAGTTGTAATGGGGGAGGTGTGGAGGATGTAGCGGTTGTAATGGTGGAGGTGTGGAGGATGAAGCAGTTGGTATTGGGGTACTTTTGGAGGCTGTATCGGTTGGTAATAGGGGAGGTTTGGATGATAAAGTGGCTTGTAATAAGGGAGGTTTAGAGGATGTTGTGGTTGGTAATGGGGGAGGTTTGGAGGATGTAGCGGTTGGTAATGGGGGAGGTGTGGAGGATGTAGCGGCTGGTAATGGGGGGGGTTTGGAGGATGTAGCGGTTGGTAATGGGGGAGGTTTGAATGATGAAAGGGTTGGTAATGGGGGAGGTTTGAATGATGAAAGGGCTGGTAATGGGGGAGGTTTGAATGATGAAAGGGTTGGTAATGGGGGAGGTTTGAATGATGAAAGGGCTGGTAATGGGGGAGGTTTGGGGGATGTAGCGCATTGTAATAAGGGAAGTATGGGGGAGGATTGAATGATGAAAAGGATGGTACAAAGTGTAGCTGGTGACAATTGTGTATGGCCGCACAGTTTGGTTTCTAATTGCAGGTAGTTATTCTGTGTCAATTCTGGCTTTGCTGCAGGGTCCCTTTCCCATGCTGATGTTCTTCGGTATCCTGGGAGTAGTCACCATCATGCTGTCTCTTTTTCTCTGGTCCACTCAGCGCAGAAAGGTGAAGAGCCAGTGAACTTCAAAAAGGGGGTCAGAGTTTCACTTCTCAAATGTCTACAACTTTCTTCTTTCTTTTTGGCAATTGATGTTGCAAGAGATATGCACACCAGACAAGTCACTCCGTAGGAGCACATACCGTCTACGAGCTGTACCCTCTAGAGGAGATGCAGACCCCACAGCTGGTTAATTATTACCTCCAAGAGGGTGCATGCAGCTTTTTTAATATCCAGCAGATTTTGGTGTTCAACTTGTAGAGAATCTCTATCTTCAGCAAGTCAGACGGACAATTACAATGAATACTGACACCCATAGCTCTGACTCTGTTCCAAAAAACTGTTCCAAAAATATTAAGACGATGGAAACAAAGAAAGAAAATACTATAATAGAAGAGAAGGAATTGGGAAAATGTGAATCCGGAATGTAGAACAAAAGAATCTATTCAAATAGACGCTGACCATGTTAATGCCATTTAGACGTTCTACATAACATGGGGTTTATTGCCTGTAGGGTGGCATAGAAGACTTGTTGTCTGTAGCGGATGGCCTTGAGGTGCCCTGGGACTTGTATTATTTTTAACCTGTATTCGTCTATTTGCTAAATGTATATGCAGTAGTGTAATGTATTCATCTGATTGTTCGGTAGAAATCATTCTAACAAATAAGGGAATGAAACTACCGAACAACCAGACCTCCCTGGTGTGAAGTGTGCCTTCAATTACCTGTTGCAACATTGTTGCGAACGGGTAATTGACAAGCTGTGTAGCAATCCTTTGTTCTCGGGGGTGGCCGCCATTCGGGAAACGAACACGTGGCTGCGGCCATTTTAAACTCCCGAACAGCGTTTTTTGCCGTCGAGTGTCTGGAACTCAAAACGGACACTCGACTAGGCGAACACCGCTGAGACCTCCATCAGTCCGGTCCGTTCGGTTCCAAACTACCGAACGGCCCCTCGTTTGGTAGGCATAATCAGCCAAACGAGGGGATTCAGGCGAACCCTCCCCAGCCTCTATAGCTGGAGGCTTTCAGGTACTTCATTCGCCTTTTCCAGGACCGACCGCAGGGCCCAATCGCATGGAGCCCGATTCGGCTAGTTCACCCCGAACCCCTGGTCTGATCTGGGTGATTTTTGGATATGTTGTTCACCCAGATCAGGGCTACCAGGGGATGCATAATTTAAAGTGGTACCCCTAGTTTTAGGGGTACATCCAGAAATGGGGGGGAATTGCTGTACTGGATAAGGGGATTATGATGCCGGCTGAGGGGAGGAGATGTGTGGGAGGTTACCAGGACAGGATTGGCTATTGTGATAATGAATGTAATCCCTCCCTTGCATGGGAGCATGCTATATAAGGCACTGTGGAATAAAGCTTTCAGTTCTGCTCCTGATGCGGTGTGTCGTCCAGTTATTGGGATTGCTGTTGGGATACCATTGGATTATTTTACCTGCTGGAAACCCTGCCTTTGGATTTATAATTACTTGTTCCTGTGCCTCACTGGGATCTTAAGCGGAGATAATCTGTGGAATATTGTATCTCCGCTACATTGTCCATCAGTTCCTCAGGTATCGGTGGATTCGTGGGCTCCTTAGTTTGCTGGGGCCATTTTTTAGTTGGAAGAGAGCGCTGCAAATGGCTCTTTAGATAGGCATGTAAATGTCTATTAAAATGATTGCGATGTGCGCACGGTAAAATCTCTGGATACCTGAGGCTCCTGTCAGTCAGCTGGGGCCATTTTAAGTGTAGTGCTGGAAGCAGCTATTTACATAGGAATTTAAATGCCTACTTGGTGATCGTGGTGTGAGCAGCACCGCTAACCGCAGCTATCAATGCATATATGGGGCTTCTGTTTGTCAGCTGGGGCTATTTTAGATGGTTCTGACTGAATAATAAGCTCTGTGGAAGTTAGCGCAGCAAAGAGCCCTTTAAATCATTCAGAAAACCGCAGCTGGGTGCACTTGCGTTAAAGCTACAGTTTTTGTGAGGTGCAAACTGTTCAGGGGAGACTCTCCAGGATTTTTTTTTTATTACCAAAAATGTTTAAAAAGAAAAAAAAATTCCTTTTAATTTCACCCTTTCCCCCCCATTTTTATCAATTTTTAAAATTAATTTTCCCACATGTTGTGTTAGTTATACTTATAGGATGTTAACTAACGCCTCACTTCACACTCAAACTCAGTAAAGGTCTGTATTTTACATCCTGCAGAAACACCTACCACTCTCAGGCCTAACTTCACACTCTAACTCAGTGAAGGTCTGTATTTTACATCCTGCAGAAAATCCTACCACTCTCAGGCCTCACTTCACACTCAAACTCAGTGAAGGTCTGTATTTTACATCCTGCAGAAACACCTACCACTCTCAGGCCTCACTTCACACTCTAACTCAGTGAAGGTCTGTATTTTACATCCTGCAGAAACACCTACCACTCTCAGGCCTCACTTCACACTCTAACTCAGTGAAGGTCTGTATTTTACATCCTGCAGAAACACCTACCACTCTCAGGCCTCACTTCACACTCTAACTCAGTGAAGGTCTGTATTTTACATCCTGCAGAAACACCTACCACTCTCAGGCCTCACTTCCCACTCAACTCAGTGAAGGTCTGTATTTTACATCCTGCAGAAACACCTACCACTCTCAGGCCTCACTTCACACTCAAACTCAGTGAAGGTCTGTATTTTACATCCTGCAGAAACACCTACCACTCTCAGGCCTCACTTCCCACTCAAACTCAGTGAAGGTCTGTATTTTACATCCTGCAGAAACACCTACCACTCTCAGGCCTCACTTCACACTCAAACTCAGTAAAGGTCTGTATTTTACATCCTGCAGAAACACCTACCACTCTCAGGTACTGACTGAATCTTGGAAGATATTCCACCTCATTTATTCTTGAATTGCTACCATATTCTTATGTGTTACCATTTATACCTGTAGTTTGCCACTGTAATTCTCTGTGCATGCAGTATACCTAACTATAACTGTTCAATCTCATTCTCTGTTCGTCAGGCCTCACTTAACACTCAAACTCTGTGAAGGACTGCATTTTTTTTCTCTCAACATTTCCCACCCAGATTCCCCCTAAATATATAGCATGCTCCTCCAGCTGTTTGAGATTCTCACCCAATTACCTCTTCATTCCCTTTACATTTTACCAATAGCTGCTTCTCTCTGTTTCCTTATTTAGCCATCACCCCCAAACTTCCCCTGCTGCCGTTTGTCTCAAATCCCCATGGTATCCTTTAGATTGTAAGCTCACGGGCCATATAGCCAAGCACTTTGTATTAAAGAGCTCCAATGGCTAGATATCAGCTTACAGGCTCGGCTCTCTCTACCTCTTGTATTTGTCTCCAGTCATTGTACAGCGCTGCGGAATCTGTTGGTGCTTTATAAATACCAGTAATAAAATAAATTAACTGAAGGCCCTTTCTGTCCTTTAAACAATGATATACAGTTGTTCTCAAAACTTTGCATACCCTTGGAGAATTGGTAACGTGTAGCATTTCTAGAGGAAAATGAATGAGCAGGCAAACCACATCTCCTGGCTAACCATGGCAGCATCACTAATGGGTAGCACCGCTCCTAACCAGATCAGGATAGGATAAACCAATACAAAGAGAGAATGAGGCTGGAGGCATAAAAGGTCCCTCCTCCTTCCTTAGCTCAGTCTTTTCCTGTCCTTAACCGGACAAGAGCGGTTTATATTTATATAAGTGGTGGGCAGAATACACTAGCCCTGAGGAGTGGAAAAAATGGATAGAGAAAGGATAGAAACAAACACGTAGGAAATTTCTACTAGTAAAAGAAAGCCCCCATAAAAGCTAAGAGAAATAAATAAATGGTGGTAGGTGGAAAAGCCTACACGTACTAGGAGATCTCTTACCAGATGCTACAAACTATTAAATAATCTAAGCAGAAAATTAAAAAAAAACTATAAAAAAAACAAATTTCAATAAGAACCACTTATCGGCGGAGCCAATCAACGGAACGGAGCGGTCACACCTAAGCCGAGCTCTGCAATACTAGGCCTAATTTTCGAGCTACAAACAAGTTACCCCAAACAATTCGGTGCCAACTGGACACCAGCATACACCATAATGGGACGAAAAACAAAAAACCAGAAGGCGGACAAGCCTAGAATGGGCATGAACATTGGGGACCTGTGGCGGCAAGCACATGAGACCTCGCAATCTAAGATTGCGTTCTACCTCGAAGAAAGCTCAGACTTCTCGGACAACCAAACTCCGGAGATTGCGGATTTCATCACACCAGCATAACAGGGGCCAAAACAGGCGCCAGCACTAACCTCACCAAAGAGGGACTCGCCGCCTGTGACCATGGCCAATATGCAAGACCTTCTAGCAGATCTTCAGCGGGACATCCACGCAACGACCTCAAGGGCCTGACAGGCCGCATGGGGGCCCTGGAGACTGACTCCCACAACGCCAAACGAGAGGTTATGCACCTGCAACAAGAGATGCAGACCCTCCAAAAGCAACAGACCACCTTAGAGCAAAAACTCACGATAATGGAAGACTCAAAAATCTCAAGGTCAGAGGGGTGGCGGAGGCAATCCCAGGCGATGAATTGCCGCACTTTATTAGACGCCTCCTGGGCGAAAGCAATAATGATAGCACGTTCCGGATCCCCAGACCCGCCAAAGCCCCGGCCACTGCTCCCAGGGACCTGACTGCCTTTCTAGGCAAGGCAGGACAAGGCTGCAGTGATGGGCGCCCTCCGGGGACAATCCCCATACAACTTTGAGAACTCTTCGCTTACCTTCTTTGCCAACCTGACAGGGAGCACACTGGCATGGCGAAAGTCCCTGCAGCCCTTCACGACGCTGCTCCGGACGCACAACATCACCTACAGACACGCTGGAAATCTCCCACGGCGGAACCATCTACCTGGTTCACGATTTGGAATGAGCAGCAGCGATCCTGGAGAGCCTGGGCCTCCCACTGAACTCATTAACCAACACCTCAAAAGCAACGGCGACCACATCGCATGGCTGGGACTCGGCGAACAAAGCCCCCTTTATACTCAGGAAGCCCCCGGCGGACATCCACGCAGAGGCTACGACCTGATCTCCCCCAGTCAGCCACACAACATGCTGGCAGTTAAGACTTTGCTCATAGAGGACTAACGTGTTTAATCTTGCTCTCTAAGTTTAATACTGCTTTTACCATGTCCCATACCTTTCTTCTCTTAGCTCTGCTATACCTGCATTGTTTGTTTTTACTTCCACTAAGGCCACACAAAAGCTACTGGAGAATGGTAATCATAACTGGGGGGAACGGGCTGCATACGTGTGTGTCCCTCCCTCCCCCAATAAGTTCCCCAGCCTCCGCGCCAACACCAATAGAAGGCCCCACATTGTTCCCCCCCCCCCCCCCCCACTCAACCCGGATCACATAGGCCACCCTGCGTAACCCTCACCAGGGCCTTATCTGGAGACCCCCCCATACCACAATGCCACAAAAGCCCCCGTGTCATTACCCATCATAGGGCCACCTCACCCCTCCTGACAGGGGGTAACCGTACCACCATGATAACCAAGTCATGATACGCCTAGCCCGCCAAGACAGATACGCAATAAGGCACAAAACTCGCCTCCTCCTAACACACTCACTTATGGCATGGCCCGCACCAGCCACTTATAACATGGCCCACCTACCTGCCCTAACTCCTGATATATCAGGAAAAGCACCCACTAACATGGGGTTCTTGGACATATCATTTGATGACACAATTTGCTTAGACTGCACAAACCGGTGGCTAATTCTATAAAGAGATTAAAAGCTAAAGCCTCACATTAAACCACATATCTCCCTTGATGCAACAATTAAGGTACCCAGAACAACAACAACAAAAGGGAAAAATTAAATATCAATCGGCCACATCCTTTTAGCAGAGAGCAAAAACATAGCATGCATAGCCACATGCGCATATCCTAATTAATTCAGTAAGCCTAGCTAGCCCTGATACCGTACCACATCTCAGCATAGCTAACAGTTTTGGTTGTCAGATTAAATAAAATGTGTTTCTAGACAACGTTAATCAGTCTTGTTACAGTATGTAGTAGAAAAGGTATTTTCTGGCGTATAAGATGACTTTTTAACCCTGGAAAATCTTCTCCAAAGTCGGGGGTCGTCTTATACGCCGGGTATAGGGTCTATACGGCTGCCGTGGGCGCCCTGCGCCCCCATCGCCGACCCTTCTAATGCAGCTATAGAAAGTGCTCAGACGGCTGCCGCACTGCCTCTCTTCTCACCTCCCCTTCCCTGTGCAGAGTGGGTGGCCGAGCTCCTCTTCGTCCTGTCAGTCCGGCCGGGTACCGCGCGGTACAGGAGATTCAGTTACCTGTTCCCGGCCGGACTGAAAGGAAGTGCACACTGAGAGGACGAAGAGGAGCTCGGCCACCCACTCTGCACAGGGAAGGGGAGGTGAGAAGAATGTAGGGAGGATTGGGGGGGAGTAAAAATAATGGAGGGGGAGTAAAAAGAATATATCGCAATTAGCCTCCTGTGTGCTAGACCAGCAGGCATGGATTATATGCCCAAACAGCCTGGCACATACCTGGGCTTTAAATGCTATTTCAGATTATCATTATTTAATGTCTTGCTGTGTAGCTCTGTCTGCTCACTGTACATCATGGCTAATTTTTATTTGGTGTGCATTGGAAGAGGGGTAGTCTTATACGGCGAGTATATCCCAAACTCTATATTTCAACTGGAAAAGTTGGGGGTCGTCTTATACGCCGGAAAATACGGTAAATAAAAAATGTGGAGCATACCATGTCATTTATCTGTACAGCATCTGTCATGTCATCGCTATTGTCTTAAGTAGTTAACTCTGCACTTTGAAAAATAAATTAAAAAATAAATAAATTAAGAACTACTTCTCCACACATAAAATACAAAGAAATTGAATATCAGTTATTGTGGTATATGGCCACTAGGTGGCAGCCTTACATCAAAAAAGCCTTTGTATAAAGGGAATCTTCCACTAAACAACGAATAGTCTTAATGTATGGGAAATAAGAATAAAATGGTAAAGTTTGGATGTATTTAAACAATGGCTACAAATGTATACGTAGATAGTCCAGACACCTTTATAGTCCAATAGAACCCAAGAACCGTCTTTGTTTATTTCTTGTTAATGTTGGGCAGGTACCCTGTGTCAGCATATTACGCCGATGCTCTATTATGTGTTTTATACAGAGTCTTCTGTTCCAAACACGGCAATATGGTGATATGGTTTACAGGTATTTTATATGTTCCTGTGTTTTCTATATATACGAATCTTTGAAGCTTACTGTACATCATTTTGGGTCTGTGTGTGTTTCTATTTATTCCAAAAATACATTTGTGCTCCCTTTCCCGGAGGTAGTCCCCCATTGAAGCGTGAGCTCCATGTACAAGTGATAATGGTTTAATGAGCGCTAGCCTTGCATGTTGGATGGATCTCAGCAACAAACGTTTCCAAACTGGAACCGGAACCTTGCGGCTTCAGCAAAACACAGCATTCTGGGGAAAGTTTCAAACTTCCTAATAATCTTGTTGGGCAGAGGAAGCTCTACCCAGTGTGTTTCAGTGATTTCTCAGCTCCTTCAACAGCAGAGACCCAAAAACAAGCACCCTTCACTCCTGACAAACCAGCAACATCAGTCTCTGCTGAGTGTCAGAAAAATGTTTCTTGTCTGTGGTAAGTCGGGAAAATAATTGCCAAAGCAAAAACCTCTGAGCATGCGTCAGAAAAGGCCCCAGTTACACTGCTCACCCTGAAGGGACAGGGAATATTCCCAGGACACCTATAGTGTCCCTTTAATCAGGGCCGGATTAACATAGGGGCTGATGGAGCTGCAGCTCCAGGCCCAGGCCCAGGCCCATGGAATAGGCCCATTGATTTAAAAAAAAAATATTATTACGGGGGGGTAGGCTGACAGGACCCCCGGGTATTATAGGGGGCATTATAGGATACGGGGGGGTAGGCTGACAGGACCCCCCGGGTATTATAGGGGGCATTATAGGGGGTATTATAGGATACGGGGGGGTAGGCTGACAGGACCCCCCGGGTATTATAGGGGGCATTATAGGGGGCATTATAGGCCTGGGCAGCTCCAGGCCCAGCTGCAGCTCCAGGCCCAGGCCCATGGAATAGGCCCATTGATTTAAAAAAAATATATTTTTTTTTTTTTTTTTTTTTTACACACTACTGTTAGGGATTCCACCTGGCTTTTATTTTATTGGCACAGCCGGTATTTGAGGTTGCCTGGCTGGTGCCAATATTACAGTGATACTGGCAATATAAATGCTGGTATTTTTCTCAGTATAAACAAGAGATTACTCTGCAATACCAGCACTGGCCAGTAGGGGTCACCGTGTATGGAGAGAGGCAGGGATAGGAAGTTCCAGCATATCCCTCCCTTCCTATCTTTACTCACTGATCTGCAGGGGTGCAGCTACAGAGAGTCCAGACAGCAACTCCCACCCTGCAGAGACAGCCTACAGCTCAGGGAAGTAAGGGATGGGGGGGGGGGAGGCTGCAAGGAGACATACACTGAGACACTAAGGGACATTGGGAGACATTATGGCAGACACTGAGACACTAAGGGACACTGGGAGACATTATGGGAGACACTAAGGGACACTGGGAGACATTATGGCAGACACTGAGACACTAAGGGACATTGGGAGACATTATGGCAGACACTGAGACACTAAGGGACATTGGGAGACATTATGGCAGACACTGAGACACTAAGGGACATTGGGAGACATTATGGCAGACACTGAGACACTAAGGGACATTGGGAGACATTATGGCAGACACTGAGACACTAAGGGACATTGGGAGACATTATGGCAGACACTGAGACACTAAGGGACATTGGGAGACATTATGGCAGACACTGAGACACTAAGGGACACTGGGAGACATTATGGCAGACACTGAGACACTAAGGGACATTGGGAGACATTATGGCAGACACTGAGACACTAAGGGACATTGGGAGACATTATGGCAGACACTGAGACACTAAGGGACACTGGGAGACATTATGGCAGACACTGAGACACTAAGGGACACTAGGAGACATTATGGCAGACACTGAGACACTAAGGGACATTGGGAGACATGGCAGACACTGTGACACTAAGGGGCACTGGGAGACATTATGGCAGACATTGAGACACTAAGGGACACTGGGAGACATTATGGCAGACACTGAGACACTAAGGGGCATTGAGAGACATTATGGCAGACACTGAGACACTAAGGGACATTGGGAGACATTATGGCAGACACTGAGACACTAAGGGGCACTGGGAGACATTATGGCAGACACTGAGACACTAAGGGGCACTGGGAGACATTATGGCAGACACTGAGACACTAAGGGGCACTGGCAGACATTATGGCAGACGCCGAGACACTAAGGGGCATTGGGAGATATTATGACACAGACGCATGGGGACACAGTGTCCCCATGTCTCCCAGCCAGTATCCCTGGTGTCTCACTGCCCCCTTGTCTCCCAGTGACCCCTAGTCTCCCAGTCTGCCAGTGTCTCAATGTCTCCTAGTGCCTCCATGTCTCTCATTGCCTAAAGTGTCACAATGTCCCCATGTCTCCAAGCTAGTGTCTCTAGTGTCTGTGGCCCTGGTGTCTGTGTCCCCATGTCTTCAAGTGTCCCCTATTTTCCCATTGTCCCCATGTGTCCCAGCCAGAGTCCCCTAGTCTCCCAGTGTCACTTGTGTCTCCGTGTCCCTAGGTCTCCCCATGTCCCCAGGTCTCCCAGTCTTCCTAGTGTCCTAGTGACATGGAGACCCTGGGATACATGGGGACACAGGGAGACATGGGGCATTGAGACACTGTGATACATAGGATCACTGGGAGACCTGGGGACACGACACTAGGGGACACTGGGAGACATGGGGCACTGAGACACTGATACATAGGGACACATGGGGGCACTGGGAGACATGGGGGCACTGGGAGGAATCCATCTATACAGCAGAATCAAACTAATAGTTTTTTGGGTGATTTTACAGCATTTTCTCTTATGTCACTTTTTTTTTTCCAAGAAAGGTGGCAACCCTAACTACTTTTCACATACTCTTACTTAAGTATGGAAAGGTGGGATGTATGGGAACAAAACTTGTGTGGACTGGCTGACAATGAATATAGTTAAAGGGACACTATAGTCACCAGAACAATTACAGCTTATTGAATTTGTTCTGGTGAGTAGAATCATTACCGTCAGGCTTTTTGCTGTAAACACTGTCTTTCAGAGAAAATGCTGTGTTTACATTACATCCTAGTGATAACTTCACTGGCCACTCCTTAGATGACTGTTAGAGATCCTTCCTGGGTCATGGCTGCCTAAAATGCATCCAAACATTCAGTGTCTCCTCCTTCTGCATGCAGACACTGAACTTTCCTCATAGAGATTCATTAATTAAATTCATCTATATGAGGAGATGCTGATTGGCCAGGGCCGTGTTTGAATCATGCTGGCTCTGACCCTGATCTGCCTCTTTGTCAGTCTCAGCCAATCCTATGGGGAAGCACTATGATTGGATCAGGCCACCACTTCTAATGATGTCAGCAGACTGCTTGTTTTTATGAGTCTAACAGCATGCAGAGTTACAGCTTCGGGCTTGAATATAGTAAGATTTTGTTATATTTATGGAGGCATGAGGGGCCCAGGGGGGCTAGATGGTGGTGTAGGGTCATGAATTCATGTTTGTGTTCCGGACCCTATAGTGATCCTTTAAGGTAATGCTGACTTTGGTCTCTCTAACACTGTGGCATGTTCCCTTTCTTCTACACTCACTACATACAGCTTTTCTCTGTCCCAGACTATATACCAGGAGCTTCTGCCTGCTAGTAAGAAGGTAAAGAGACAAGTGGACCAGCGAGTGCTAGGGGACAGTCCTTAGAAAGCATTGAGTGAGCGCATCATTAGATGCATTTATGCCAAGCTCAGGGTGCTGTCTGCATAGTATGCCCTTAGTTGGCCAGCTGCATGATTGGCAGGCAGCCTGACATGCATCCATGCCAGGCTGGCCTTCTAATTCTTTGAGCAGACATGTCCTCTTTTTGGGCATGTTCACCCCTTTTAGCAGGTTACGTGATTTGTGTCAGTGACACACCCTTTTACCATGCCCATTGACTTCCTGCCTGACTAGACACTGCTGTTAGGGGTTATGGATTTACTTGAAAGATGAAAACATAAATTAGAGAGAGATTAGCCTTTTCTTATAGCTGCTGTTTTCTTTCTCTCCAGCACCATCTCCATCACATACATGATGCTTGGGAGTGTTTTACTGTTTTTGGTCGATATGATTCTGTAATTAGGCCCGTCATAATTGTCAGCACCAGGCCCACGCGGCTCTTAATCTGGCCCTGCCCCCGGGTATTATAGGGGGCATTATAGGGGGCATGCTGACAGGACCCCCCGGGTATTATAGGGGGCATTATAGGATACGGGGGGTAGGCTGACAGGACCCCCGGGTATTATAGGGGGTATTATAGGATACGGGGGGGTAGGCTGACAGGACCCCCCGGGTATTATAGGGGGTATTATAGGATACGGGGGGGTAGGCTGACAGGACCCCCGGGTATTATAGGGGGCATTATAGGGGGCATTATAGGATACGGGGGGGTAGGCTGACAGGACCCCCGGGTATTATAGGGGGCATTATAGGATACGGGGGGGTAGGCTGACAGGACCCCCCGGGTATTATAGGATACGGGACACCGTATTGGGTTAATGTTGGAGTTTATATCGCGAGCTATGAGCAGCGGCCTCTGTCACTTCTTCACAGCCGGATGAACAGCCCGGGGGGGGGAGGGAGCTCCGCCGGGTCCTCTCGCGGGATTCTGAGCGTTGCCGCGGTTACTATGGCAACACTCAGATCTCGCGAGAGTGAACTCTCACCACTGGACCACCAGGGAAGCATGACAGCATGGCTCCACCCCCCTCCCCCCCCCCCCAGGCAGAACGGTATAAAGGGGGGGGGGGACACATGACTTTTAAAAAAAAATTATTATATATATTTTTTTGTGGCTAAAATAAATTCCCAAACAGCACCCCAGACACACACACAGCACCCCCAGACACACACAGCACCCCCCAGACACACACACAGCACCCCCCAGACACACACACACACACACAGCACCCCCCAGACACACACAGCACCCCTCTTACACAAACACACTGCGCACCTCACACATACAATATATATACACACACACTGCACCACCTACACACTACATTCCTTGTAAGGAAATACATACAACATTCTCTAAACACACCCTCTCTACAACCCCTACACACACTACGTCACCTATACACACACACACTACAGCCCGTATGCACACACTCGCTACATCCCCTATAACACTATGCCCCCTATACACACACTCTCTACAGCCCCTAGCCACACATATTACACACATATTACACCACAAACACAAATGAAATTGACCTATTTACACAATACCACACCACACTCTACACACAGGCAATCCCACAAGCAGGCTCCAAACACATGCACCATACACTGGCCCTTTTGTCCTCTGGTATCCCACTTGTGGAGACACCAGAGACAATTTAAAAGCAAACACAGTGCAAGCATGTTATTACATTTGCTTGCGCTGCGCAGAACAAATACAGGGCCTTTTTCTAATGCTAGAGCTCTTCAGCGGGGCTCTGCGCATTGAACCAACATGCTCACATTGAGAGGGGGCGTACTTGTCATTAGTGATGACAAACACACCCTCTCTGGCCCCGCCCCCTTCTTGGGGGGCCGCTCTAATTGAAAAATGCCCGGGCCTAATTTTTTTCCCAGTCCGGCCCTGTATATGAGTAACTAACTGTCTGCTGCTATCCGATATTTTACTGATATAGACCAATATTGGTTACATTGTATCTACAACTTGACACTTTATTGCTGCTGTTATTTTCACTATGTGGGATGTGATATCTTTGCACTACAAGAACTTTGTCTGCCAAAGACTTTATTGGACGGACTCGTTATTTCTATTCGTCTTTCCATTTTTTTGGATTCTATTGGACTATAAAGGTGTCTGGACTATCTACTTATAAATTTGTAGCCATTGTGTTAAGAATAAAACCTTAAAGTTTGGATGTATTATTTCCAGTATAGTAAGACTATTCATTGTTTGTCCTACAGACTTGAAGGTTGATTTGAAACACAAAAAAACCAAACGCTTTAAGTGAGCCCGAGATGGGTGGATGACTAAGCAGGCAAGGACTATAGTAATTTTACAGCCGTTTATACAAACTTTAAAATAAAACACTTGTCAAACTAACACATTTACTACTTGCTTTTCAAAATGTTTCTGATTTTTTTTATGTCCCTTCAAATTTCTTGGCTGTGATATGAGGGATATTCATAGAAACTGCATGTCAAACGTCTCACCGGATTGGAGAATAGCTGCATCCCAGTAAAACGTTAACACGCTGTGCTCGGGTGCGGATTCTCTGATCAGGGCACTGATTGGACAGCTAGGGCACTCGGTAACAAGCTTTCCAGGGATATAATATATATTGTGTCAGGGTGCAGTCCAGCAAAAGGGGGTTATGGAAGAAATTTTGTGTGCTGTGACTCTAGGGCTGCAAGGCCACAGCATGGAGCGGATTGTTTAAGGTGGGACAGAGTAACGCCCAGAAGAGACAATTTTACTGTGCAATGTTTTGTATGAAGGACCCCCTGCAGGCAAACTCAACAAACTGTTCCATATAATAATCATG